AAAGCGTAAGATTGCGACGATGGAATGACGTTCTCATTCCGGCAGGCGGTCGGACTCGGTGCCGGAATATCATCTTGTCCGCGAGATTTCCCCACAGCGGGACGGGACGGCCAGGCCCGAGCTCCACGCAGCGGTTTTCTGGTGTTTTGGGACGAAAAAAAAGCTGGAGGACCCGGCAGTGTGTTCGAAACCTGGACCTTGCACTGACCCGACCTGGCGGCTTCTTCCTCACTTAAATTCCACGGGTAATCGCCGAACACCCAATGGGGGCAATTCGTTCCGTCGCAGTTGTGATGCGTCCTGCCCGACATCTTTGCGGCGTATCCACCGCATAATGCATGATATCCAATGGCTTTCATTGCTTTTTGACTCGCGCAAAGCTTACGCTTGACGGATTATCTTATCAGCGAAAGGGTTGAAGTCAAGAGCTCTCTCCCTTGGGGACACAGACGTCAATATTGAGCCCTGTGTCACTTCTTTCCCTCCTCACATCTCCCTGGTCCCTAAAACCGGGCTCAACTGCGGACTATTGACTTGGGAAACCCCCTTCATCGCCAAATACGGCATGATCACAGTCCATTTTCGGTTGAAGACCATCCAAGCGGAAGACGGCTTCATGGCCATGGGAAATGCTATACAATATGGAAACCCCCTCCAAAGATTTGTAGAGGCAGTTGTCTCCGGTTTTCCGTACCCTCGGCAGGCTCTATTGTTCTTCGTGGAGCAATAAGTCGCAATACAGGGAAACGACATTCCTACGGCAGCAGCGCAAACCTGAAGTTCACCAGAAGCCTTACAGCAAGCAAACTGTCTAATAGATACTCGCGCAGTATAGATGACGAGCATATAACTCTGCCATCTTTCCAGACAAGATGATGTGTTTCTTGATCATCAGCTTCAGCTAACACATTTACACTGCTCAGCTTCCCACTCCCACCAGCAATAGCAAATACTCTCCGAGCTTCTCTACTTCTCATATTCTCGATTGATCTGTTCAAGTACCAGGGAACCGTCGTCACCATGGTCCATCAACGTAGCTTCCTGACTTTGTCAGTCCTCTCCTTGGCGACAATCGCGGCGGCCCGCCCCGATAACCTGAGAGCACGAACGCCGCCAAACCCCAACACCTGTCCCTGTCTGCCGGAGGGCACACTGAGCGTCATCACCAAGACCGAGACCGCCCATTCCACAGTCTACCAGACCGCTTCCGCTTCTTTCGTCCAGGAGACCGTCACGGCTACCCTCACAGTCACGCGCCAACCAGTAACTCAGACCGAGACCCGAACCGTCCACGTTACCAAGACCAAGACCGCCGAGGAGCAGGAACAAGTCACCGTCACCTGCACCGAAGTCATCAGCGAAGGCCCTGATGGCTCAGCAACTACCAAGACCAAGCCGCCCGGAGACCACGAACACACCAAGACGAAGACGCGCACTGGCCATGGGGGCTCTGAGACGACTGCACCGGGCCATGATGACGATGAGCAAGCCACCCAGACAGACTCGGTTTCCGCCTCTGCAACGGCAACGGCAACGCACACCGGCTCGAACGGCGGTAAGCCGACCAACAAGCCTCCACACGGCGGTGATGGCGGCGACGGCGGCGATGATGATGACAATGGCAATGGTTCCAACCCGACTTCAGCCCACCACTGCAACCACTGGAACGGCAGCAAGTGCGTCAAGCCGACCGATGTCCCCAGCGACTCCGCCGTTACTCTCACTGCCACGGCCACGGCAACCGCAACGGCGACGGGCACGACAACCGATAACGCTTTGCCGACCTACTCGGTCTGCTCCGTCTCTGTGGCTCTCGTTACCGTCTATAATACGGTTACCGCGACTGTCTACCAGACCGGCACAGCTCCTGTACACAAGCCTCGCGCGCCAACAGCATTGGCCGCCTGGTAGTTTGATTGCCTGCATGGGTTTCGGTTGTGATGTATCGATGGAAGTTTATGGGGACGACATATTTCTCCCTTAGTAAGGGTGTTAATGGTGAAAAAGTAATGTCTACTGTAGTTAGGAAGGATTTCAATAATATCAAGATGTTTATGTCAAGCTTTGAGATGTATAAGTGACTGAAAGGGATTGCCTGGGGACGTTGAATTTACTAACCAGAAGTGAAAGTGTAAAATTACAGTATTTATACAACATAAAACGTCTGGGGTTCCCATTGTAAAATGATCGGGGGCTTGGAATAAAGACAAAAGAACGCTCGACTGAACAAGGCGATTGTCATGAGCGGTATCGGAAGCCCATGAAATCGTCCTCGTCCTCGTCGTCTTCGTCATCCTCTTCCTCGTCGTCATTGACTTCCACATTTTCTTTGCCACTGGCTTCAGCCGGCTTTTCGACAGGCGCAGTGGTGCCCGTAAAGCTCTGCTTCCTCAAAGCCTCCCGCTTTTCCTTTAATCTCCGAACCCGAGCCTCAAGCTCCTCCATATCCTCAAACTCCGTTTCCAGTGCCCGAGTAGCCTCCTCTTTCTCATCAAGTAGGTCTTTCTCCGCAAGCAGACGTCGTTTTGCTTGTTCCTCCTCCTCTGTCTTCGCTGCTGCTGCAGTCTCCTCAGCCGTCATGGCTGGTGCAGCAATGACGGCGTCCTCCGAATACGGTGCTGTTGTCGCAGCAATATCGGCCTCGAACGCTGCCCACTCGTCCTCGTCAACAGTTCCTCCAGCAGTCTTCCCAGTCGTGCCATTCTGTTGTGTTGCCGGGCCAGCAGTGACCGGCTTCGTCGGCAACTCCTCTTGTGGGATCAATGGCGAGGGACCGACGGGCTGCACAATGGGTGTCGAATTTGAAGAAGTCGCATCTCTATGCGCAGGAGTATGCGGGCGCGACGGCATCTGAATCTCCACCCCCTGTACTGGTGTGGTGGACGTTCGGCGGTTCAGCGAAGGTGGTGTGAGTGTCACGTCCTTGCGATCGTGGTCTGACTCGCCAGCGGACAGGCGAGCAGGAGTGCCCATATTCCCCTTGCTTCGCTTCTTCCGCACCGCATCGGCTGCGTCGTCATCTTCCATGTCCTCATCCGAGTCGTGTTTCCGCTTGTTTGAGGAGACTCCGTTCGCGGCCGCCGATCCGCTCGCGCCCGTGGACGCTTGTTGCACCACCTTGACCTTGGCCGTATGCCCGGATCCACGGATATGGCTGTCCCAAAGAGACTCAGACTTGATCGCCTCGTGGCAGAGGGTGCAGAGGAGCTTGCCCGCATCAGAGTAGGCGGCGTGAGGATGCTCGATTCGTCTGGCAGCACGTTGTTGACGGAGGAGGGATCGTACGTCGGCCATGGCAGGTATGAACGCGTTTTGACGATACCTAAATGTGCGCGGATGCTCCGCAGATTCAGATATGGCGAGGACTATGCTCAATGGCGAGGAGGCGTCGAAAGTCGGAAAGCCGGGCGAACTTGTATTCGGGCTAAGATTTGAATGGAAGCAACGCAAACGACGTAGCGTGGTAGCGAAGCCGTACCTTTGCTCTGGCCTGGAAAGTGGAGGTGACAAGGTGTAGGTGCCAGGTGGGCAAAGTTGGCGCCAGTTCGATTCAAGCACAGCGGGGTTAGCAGAGCGCGAAAGGCCTGCCGACGCTACCCCGGGTGCCCATAGCTTTCCAACCGACCTTGCTGACGGGCCTGACTCCTGCTGCCTCGACAAGGCCGATCTTCAGCTGTCCGTGCCTTCAAGGTCCCGTCGCGCAATTCGTAGTTGCATTAAACTCTCACCCACATTCCACCATTTCGACGCTACCGAGACAAATACACTCCAGGAATATCATCACACGAACAACTAGGGAACGATTGCAACCCTTAACCGACCTGAGATTATCCAGCGGCTCTCAGCGACGATACCCTCGCCATACGCATGGCCGACAATCCGGAAGAGCCATCGCAAAATGCGCTGGCCTCGACGTTCCCCAACCCGCCGCCGTTCTGGAGAGACTTTACCCCGGAAAACGTCGCCAGGATAGAAGAGCTGCGAAAAGCGCAAGCAGAAAAGGATGGCGTTGCTGTCAAGAACTTGCCAGCCCGCATACCAGATGTTCCCGAAAGCCTCATGAATCTCCAACCTCCGGCTGAGCCGCCAGCAGGAACATGGAAAGTCTTGGGCGGAAACTATACGGTATGTCTTTTCGGCTCGTGACGGTTGATTTGAACCGGGGACGCTGATGATCCGCGTAGCTCGACGATAAGCTTCCTTCTCTCGAGGAAGGTGAAATCAAGCGATTGGTACCGGCGCATTCGGAGGAGAAGGACGGAAAGCATCTCGATCGAGCATTCGAGCTCAAGAAAATGGCCAAGTCTCTGCTGCTTAACTTTCTCGAGCTCGTTGCCGTCATGGCTACGGTGCCAGACGACGTAAGTGAACCGCGGCCTTTCCCCGTTTCCCCTCAAACTAACCAGTCGAAGGCTGCTGCGAAAATTGAAGATTTGCGCACCATCTTCATCAACTTCCACCACGTCCTGAACGAATATCGACCCCATCAAGCTCGCGAATCGGCCATTGCGCTGATGCAATCCAATCTCGATCGTACCAGAGCGGAAACAGCTGCGATTCGAGCACAGGTTGACACGGCCAAGCGAGTTCTCGAGGGCTTAGGAAGCATTGATACACCGAAAGTACCGGATATCATCAGCTCAGTCGTTGACGGCGAGCTGACTAGTAAAGAAGCGGAGACTTTTGCCAAGACAAGAGAACAAGAAGTATGGGGAGAGGCGGATGCTTTGTTCCTTTAGCAAGGGAATGACATATCAGCTGCTACATGTGAAGATAGCTTGAGGGCCCTCTTTCCACGGGTCTTTGAGCATCCTGGGGTTTGAATACACGGATTGGTCGGCAGAGTGGTGGCGGCGGTGATGAGCAAAAGTTTCGTAGTGTTTTCGGCAAGCATTGATACCCAATTTCATACCCGACTAGACTAGGGATGAGCCACGAGAAACGGGCGTCGACAAGACAAGGCAATGCAGAAGGAGATGGTCCCGCAACATGATATTGAATCAGACGACGACGTAGGTGCTCTTCACGGGGTTTGCAAGGGGCAAACAGCTTTGGAGTCAACGACGTAGACGATAGAATAGCCACAAAGGCAAATCATGAATTCATGCTAAACTCGTATAGCACCAGCGTCAAAGATATCAAAAGCAACAAACGGTATCAATCCTCCACAGCGTCGCTACATTCCGCCCCCCAGGAAGGCCCCAAATCCAAGCCAAATTGTACTTCTCACCTGCCACAGCGGAATCCCCTTTACATGACGGTGCAGGGAATGGGGATGCAGCAGCACTCGTATCCGTCGCACTCGATGCACTTCGTCTTGCCGCCCGTGGCCTCGGCGGGCTTGACGATGCTGTCGATGATGGAAGTGGCGGCGCTGCCGGGGCCGTTGCGGTTGATAAGGCCGGAGGAAGCTGAGCCGCAAGCCATTGTGATTGTGGTTGGTGATGGAAGAGCTTGGTAGTGTGTAGATGGGAATCCTACGTTGTTGTTAGTTGCTAAAGATCTTGACTGTTGCTCAGATAGATACGCATGTGACGTCACGGCTGGAGCTCTCCTACAGATACTTACAGATGACTACGTAGCAACTGAAGCAACGGTTGGACTGATGAACAGTTGAGCTTAGATGTCGAAAGAAGGTTGAAACGGTTCAAGCAGTTTTAGATTGAACAATGGATGTCTACTCTCACAAAGGGAAAAGGCGGTCCAGACCCAGTCTCAGCCAGCCTTAAATAAAATGCACCACCCCCCATGCCCCCTCAACCCAATGCTTCCCGTGTTTCTAAATCCAGCAAGGTTGTCGTCATGGCGTGGTGGGGTGCAAGGCATAAACCCGGCAAAATGCTGTGGCTGAACCGTCTTCGATTCGTTGGCCTGCTCAGCCAACCAGTGGCAGTGCGAACCGGGCTCCCGGGGCCGGGGTGTGTTCCCGATACCTACCTTGCTGTGCCGTTAAGTATAGGTAGGAGTGTTTGCCGTCTTACTATTCGTTGTACACTGAATGCACCCGACGGTGGAAGATAGGTAGATAAACCGGACGGGAGGTGGGGGATTGGTTCCCGTCGAAAAAAGCAAGTGCTGTCTCTGACTTACTGCCTGTTGACAGCCGTTTCAGCACTTTAATGGGTCGCAGAGGATGACAGCCCGGGCTGTTGACTCGCGACAGACCCAGCACTGGAAATGACCGAGATGAGAGATCTTGGCGAGTTTAGTTTGCCCTTTGGACTCGTTGGCGGCATCGCTTTGACCGAGTTCCACCACAAAGGCCAAGAATCAACGAATTGCCGTGTTCCGGGAAACGTGAATATGAAGCTAGGAGAAGCCTAATTATCCATAAAGAACTCAACTATACAGTAGTATCTATCTGTACGATAGAGAGGGAGGACAAAGTAGTCGGCCAGGATCAATGTCCTTCTTCCAACAGCTCTTGCGAACAAAGGTCGACTTTAGACTAAGACTGATTGTTGCCGACAACAGCTACTAAACCAAATCACGATACAGCTACACAAAAGGAACATGAGAGAATAGCTTTGATTGCCCTATTTCAATACAGCTAGACAATGAACTCCATAGCAAATCCCCATTTAGCAAAGGCCCAAATGCCCCCTACGAGGGAGCGGTATCTCCGTCTCTCAGTCCCAAGACCTCGCGTGAAACCCAATAAACAGCTACCTATGTACCGCGAATGAGAGGATATACGCTTTTGCAAGCAAACTTTACTGGTTTGCCCATCCAATAACAACCCATGATCACGCCGATGGCGCAACCCCCTGCGCGCCTTGCGGAGCCGGAGAGGCAATATCGCTGCCCTTAGCAGCTGGCGGTTGTTTCTCCAACAGGAGGCTTAGATGGGTCAGGTCATTTCGCGCCCGCAGGTCTCTCTCCAAGATGCCTCGAACGACCTCCCACTCTGTCCGCGACATCTGGTAGGCTTGAGGCAGCAAGAACTTCATCGTAGGACTGTTGATCAAAGGGCCCAGAACTTCTTGTGCCAGCGCCTGGCCTTGTTGTTGACGTTGTTGATTTTCGAGTTCAGCGCCGCGAGCGGCCGTATAGCCCGTGGGAGGCTGGTTAGACGGAACAGCCTGATGTGCCCCTTGTGCTGGATATTCCTGTAAAGTGTGGGCAGTGTTGCCAACAGGATGGCCCGGTTGCTGGAAGGGGCCCTGGGCAACCGTTGGCGAGAATGCCGGGCCAGATATCGAGGGGTGTCGTGGAGGGACGCCGCTCTGTGGGGGAGTTGGCACATTGGTGACGGGTGATTGAGATGTGGTGCCGCCCAACTGAGGCTGTCTGGGGGTATTGCGGTACACGAAGACAGCCAATAGCATAGGCTCCGTCCTCTTCTGAGGGACAAGGTTATCCGAAAAGTTGAGCATGAACTCTGGCATGTTGCTGTCCCCCGGAAGGACAGGAACCAAGTAGGTGTCCCTCACATTGCCCACGCCCTTATCTCCAACAACAGCGTAGCGCTTTTTCGAGACGAAATAGTCAATGAGGGCCTGGAACTCCCGTCTATAAACCTCGGACGACGGCGTTATTGCCACGACGACAATGTCGGTCTGGTCAGCGTAGCGCAAGCCGCAGAGATACTCTATCGCCTTCTGTTCGTCTATGCGTCCGGCAACCGTGAGTTTCTTTGGGATGAGCCTGGTCCAGGGCAATGCAATGGTGGTAGAGAGGTTGGCGCCACCAACAAACCTGGCGGCAGCCGGGAAGTCGGCAATCGAGCTCATTACCAAGTGGCCACGCCAAATGACATCAGGATCTGTCTCATCAGTTGGCGAATAGGGTGGAGAGTCCGTCTCTTCCTGCAGAAGTCTATCCACGTCTGCGTCAACACCGGGGCCATGGTTTGGCGCCGACGGCCGGCGATTGTGTGTGCCCGTGGGAGATTTGACGGTTGCGTAAACCTTGTTGATGTCGAAGTCGGGATGCTTGGGAGAGTGTCGGGCTCCACGGGTATCGATGTGTAGACCAGCATGGGCAGGAAGCTCCACTGAGTTCTCATAGTGCGATTCTCCGTCGGATTTGATGCCAGCCTGCCCCTCTCGGCCACTTGGTCGTCTTATGAAAGACCTGCGTTCGTCATTCTGATGGAAGGACTCGTTCTCGACGATCTCTTCGCCTTTGTGTGTTCTCCTCATACGAGGACCATCTTCGGTGATAAGGATCGACTGCTTCTCAGAGATGGCCTTCAGCTGAGCGTTGGCCTCCTGCCTCTCCTTGGTAGCCAGCTCGTCGGCAGACATTGTGGCTAGCATAGTTGGCGACAGAGTGCGCTTCAATAAGCGTTTGGTCAAGTCGCCGTTCAGCTTCATATTCGCATATAGGATCCGCGCCTGCATTGCGTACTGGCTCCGGTCCGGGTGTGCATCGTGAACCGCGCGTTCAATCTCGAGTGCCATACGCTCCGCTTTAGCTGCAATAGTGGTGTCTTTTGGGAGACTGATGGTCTTGTCCTTGACACCAGCAGTGAGGCTGCCGCCGACAGCCTTTTGCAGGAGTTGGGCGGGTCCCTTGCGATCCTCGGGGAGATCGCTGACCTTTGCATCTAGGTCGGCCGGTGCGGTGTAATTGACGACAGGGGATGCTTCTGGATCCGAGACTTTGCGTTGCTTTGGCGCAGGCGTCTAGAAAGCGTAGAGTTAGCAATGCTTCGCGCGAGGCTTCGGGAAGACAGAAGGCTTGCCTTTGCTTCCTTTTCTCCAGTCTCCTCTCGCGTCTTGCGCTTGCCAGTGGCGGCCTTGGATGCGGCGTCCTTCTTGTCCTTCTTCTCCTTGGCGGGTTCTGAGGGAGCGGGTGAATCCTCGGCCTTGTTACTCCTCGTGTCTTGCGACAACTCTTCTTTGGGGTCGCTGGCGCGCTTTCCAGCTCTGCCGCCCTTCTTCTTTTTCTTCTTCTTCTCGTTCTGTTCGTCTTCGTAAGCCTTGCGGCGAGACTCCCACGGGCGCTCGCCTTGCTCCATGAGAGCCAGTAATTCCTTGTGATCCTGAGGAGCACATTGCTCACAGTAGTAGTTTTTAGGGAGATCTTCCGTAAAGACACTCATACCCATGCAAACGTTGTGCTGCCATGCCGTGCATTTGTCGCAAGCGATCCAAGGCTCCTCTGAGTCGCCATCCTGCTCAGTTGCGCCGCAGACGCAGCGGATAATCTCTTCTTCTGGTTCCTCCTCTTGCTTCTTCTTCCTTCCTCGTTTCTTGGGCGGTTCGATAGGTTGGTCGTCGAAGGCCTTTGTATGCTGACCTTTGGTTGCGCGCACAGAGCGGCGAGGCTCCGGTTCTCCTTTACGAACCATACTGGTTAGATCTTGTTGGTAAAGAATGCGGCAGTGTAAGGTATGTGTGCGTGCTTGTGCTTGTGTGTATGTTTTTGGGGGGAAAGACGAGGGGTGGCTGGCTGCGGGGCAGCGTGAAGGTGGTTGCGACACTTACCAGACATAATGGCTTTGTTGCCAGCGGTGGCAGGAAGGAGAGGTGGAAGCGTTCAAACGTCCGTCTCCCTTTGTTGGGAAGGAGCGCGAGGGTGCACCTTTGGGGGAAGGTACGGGATCTACTCCAGTTGTCGATTCAGGAAGGTCCGGTGTCCTCTGTCTTTCTCAAGCATGCATTGGATTTTACGGCAGAGCAGAGGAAAAAAAAAAGACTATGATATGTGACCCATCCAAGATACGCGCGCGACACCACAGGCTTGATGCGAAGAGCGCAGACCGCGCGGGAACCCTTCCAATCGTCCCTCTCGAGTGAGTTCCAACACAGATAAGAAGTATAACGTCGCGCGACACAGTTTGCGACAACGAAATCAAGGTCGATCGTGGTGGGAGCGATGTTCGCGTGCCGCTTTTTGGGTTGTGTGGGAGAGGAGCAGAAGGGAGCTTGCGCAAAGGTGGAGGTGATGGAGTGGGTTGCGGTGCGGTGCGCTGCGATAAAACGGCGCGAGGTTGGAGGGAAAATGCCGAACCGCCTCCACATCCTGTCATTAGGTAAGCGTCGTTAACCACGATCTTGGGCCCATCGCTCGGTGAGAAGTGCACGGATGCCGGGGAGGCGGGGGATGCATTGTTGTGGCCTTGATGCCTGATTACCTATTTTCGGTGAGATAGGGGAGAGAGAACCTCTGGCCCCCGTCTGAGGTGGGAAAGCAAAACGATGAGGTAAGAGCCTCCCGGCAAAAGCTCGGACCATCCTTACCTCAGCGGCTCAGCCCTCCCCCGGTTGCTCCCCCAGGCTGGCTAGCAGCGCAAGGAGCTAACGCGTGCGTCGATTGCCTGGAGCTTGCCTCATCGAGCTGCACCTAAAGTCGTAGCCTTCCCTGCAGACGACCAACAAACCATCTTGCCGCAACTTCACACGAATCCGATCGTCGGCTTCACAAACGAGATCAGTACCGCAATCGAATCCTCAGTCACAGTCAAGTGCAACTCGATTGCTCGCCCATCATGTCACGCAGATACGATTCCCGCGTAAGGTCCCTCCCCGCTCTTCCCTTGCTCTACGTCCCCTCCATCCTAGTAGGGCAGCAAGCTCACACTTTGTGTTAGACAACAATCTTCTCCCCCGAGGGCCGTCTCTACCAGGTTGAATATGCCCTTGAGGCTATCTCTCACGCTGGAACTGCCATTGGCATCCTCGCCAAGGATGGCATCGTTTTGGCCGCCGAGCGCAAGGTGACTTCGAAGCTGTTGGAGCAAGACACTTCTGCGGAGAAGCTGTACATCGTCAACGAGTACGTAGTTGTGGGCTCAGCACTATATCTCTAGACTCTAACGCTCTTGCCTCCTAGCAACATGCTTGCCGCCGTTGCAGGTATGACGGCTGACGCCAACATCCTCATCAACTATGCCCGTCAGGCCGCCCAAAGATACCTCCTCACCTACAACGAAGACATTCCATGCGAGCAGCTCGTCCGGAGACTATGCGATCTGAAGCAAGGATACACACAACACGGTGGTCTGAGACCGTTTGGCGTCTCCTTCATCTACGCCGGATGGGACCCTCGTAGACAGTTCCAGCTGTACCAGAGCAACCCTTCAGGCAACTACGGCGGATGGAAGGCGACGGCTGTCGGTGCCAACAGAGCTAGCGCAGAGAGCTTGTTGAAGCAGGACTACAAGGAAGATTGCACTCTCAAGGAGGCTTGTGGCATGGCGGTCAAGGTTCTTAGCAAGACCATGGACTCAACGAAGCTGAGCGCGGAGAAGCGTACGTTATTGCCATGGCCCCCCTTCGATCTGCGAATTAATACTAACCGAATGTAAACAGTCGAATTCGCCACCGTTGGCCAGACGAGCGACGGCAAGATCTACCACAGACTCTGGACCGCAGAGGAGATCAAGGAATTGCTGAAGGAGCATGATTTGGCAAAGGACGAGTCCACGGAGGACAAATAATGGCATGGATGAATTCAAAAACATAGATGGGGCGTGATGATTGCCCTTAACCCTGATGTACCAATAGAATTGATGCCCCCAAATTTCCAGAATCTCAGACCCCCAAAACCCTGATAGGTTGCTGCCAAGATGCAAATGCGATGCTGCGGTTTCCCAGGGTGAGCTCTATAATGGCATGTAATGCAGAGGTGATAAACCAGGCTCAAGATGAAGCAGAAGAAAGCAAGGCAAGAATGCAGTAAACACGAGAAACAATGTAGTGATTAGTCTTACGTGTGTAGATGGCTAAGTCGGTGGTTGGTTTGTTGCATTCGTACTCTATGAAGGACCCTACTGACAGTGATTAGTGTCTCTGGCTATTTAGCTGGGTCATCTCGTAGCCTACGTCGGGTCGCGAGTCCCCAGCTTCCTCCTCGTCTCGCAGGCGGTTCCACCCAGTCTTGGGGTCCGATCCAGGATATGGATGGGGTTCATGACATTCCTTGGCGGTCAACTTCGGCCAGTGTCGTCGATAACTCCAGTACGCAACCACGTAACCAAGCAAAGAGCCCACGGAAACATCATATACGTCGTGTCTATAGTCCTCACACCGGCTGATGGCGATGAGCGCAGCCCCCAGCAGCGGCAGAAGGCAAATGAGGGCGCGGCTAAGGTCTCGGCCTCCACTGTTGTGTCGGAAAATGTGCAGCTGGCCAGCCAAGAATAAGCTCAAGAAGCCAAGTCCAGAGAAAGAGAAAGACGAATGGCCCGACGGGAAGGACCGCCAACCATCATGGAGGAGATGGTGCGCAGTCTCAGTGCAGACATCGATGGTAACAAGCACGTCAGGCTTGGTGCCAGTCGCCGGCTTACATCTGGCCAACAAATCGGGACGCGGTCGGCCGACAGTATTCTTGACGAGGTCCGTGAGAAAGGAGCCCATGATGATGGCGATGGCAAAGGACAGGTAGGTGACCTCGTGCTTGTGAGGCGATGCTTTTGTGACAACATTATACGCAACCAACACGCCCAGCGGTATGAAGAGGGCGTATACAAAGTTCATGTCTAAGAAGGTATCAGTCATATTCTCAAGAAGGCTCCAAGGCTCCATCTGTGCACTAACAAACAGGTACGCGCTCGACCTCGGCATGAGGGTATGAGATATGCAGATCGTTGATGAAGAACATGCGGTGGAATGGCTCAATAAATAACAGCATCTAAAGAAGTCATCAGCACTGGGAGCTATGCCATGAACATGCATCGTGAAGAACCTACCACGACCCACCCAGTAAGGAGAATCGCAAATCCGAGGTAGTCTGGCGCATGAGTTCTCTACAGGTACTCTGTCAGACGATCTCGCAGCCTTGCTTGTATGAGAAGAACCCGAGCGAGTACGCTACCTTCCAAAACCTGGTGAATGCGGATGCGACAGCATTTCCGCTTGAACCACTGTCCCGACGGGCTGGGGCCATCTTGAGCAGTCACCGTCGTCGAGTTGCACGAAAGGCTGCTTGAAACATCGACGACTTCTTGCTGCGACGGTGGGTGTTGATCGAGGGAGCGGTAGTGATGAGAGAGCTCAAACACCCAACGTGAGCCGAGTCTATAAGAATCAAAAGGAGCGACGGCAGACAATGAAAGTTGAACAAGCGCCAACGACTAGCCGCAGTCACTTGATCAACATGCAGATCCTCCGGCCAATTGTCCCTAGGGCGAGCCTTCCACCTTAAATGTCTTCCGGTGTATGTGGCGTTTTGATTGGGGGATTCGAGCTCGTGAGCTGTGACGCTTTAGGTCCCGAGCTGGCTGCAGACGCGGGAACCTCTGGAAGCTGCCTTATCTTATCGGATGCCCGAAGATTCTCCGTCTCAATTCCGCTCCTTGCATCAACGCCCCCGAAAATCAACAACTTTATCGTGATCGTGATCTGACGGTTAGCATCACAGACACTACGAGCGCACCATTTCTTAACCTTGCTCAGTATGCTCAAGTCAACGTACAAGCCGACCGCAAATACTGCGACACCTCTTCCTCTGCTTCCCGGATGGACAGAGCACACTGCGCCAAGCGGACATAAGTACTACCACAACAGCCAAACACAAGAATCGACATACACAAGACCCAGTGCCCCGGACGCTGCTGCTGCACCTTCAACGGCTTCGACGAGCTTCTTCCAATATCAGACCGTTCCCCAACTCTCCGATCCCAACGTCGCAAACGCATATCTTGCACAATACAATGCGCAAAACCAGCCTCTGCCTCAGCGAGGAGGTTTCGGTCACGGAGGCAGGGGAGGTAGGGATGTACGCCCGCGTCCCGAGCCGGTGGACAAACCGAAATCTAAGGTGCCGATCCCCGGATGCGAGCCCTGGTTACTAGTCGACACAAAGTACGGGCGCCGCTTTGTCTATAATCCCGAGAAAAATGCTAGCTACTGGCGCATTCCAGAAAAGCTTACGGCTGGTATCTTGGAGGTGGACAAGGCCAGAATCCGCGAGAAAGCTGGGATCAGAAGTGTCGCAGAGACAGACAAGGAGGGACCACCGACAGCCCAAGCTCGACCAACACTAGATGCTACGGAACCCACGACCTACGACAACAACGAGGACAGCTCAGAGTACGAGGAGGTTGAGGTTACGGATGACGAAGTAGAGGACCAAGATGGGGAGGACGGACCTGCTTCCAAGCGCCAGCGTACAGAAGATCCGGCCGATGACGCGCCTGTAGAATTCAGCGAAGCGGACATCGCATTTCAACTGCAAGCAATGGGCGATGCCTACGGACTAGACCCCGGAGAATATGACGACGGGAATATGGACGAGTGGCCTGAAGGTGCAGAGGGGGTCGAGTTCTCACAAGAAGACGCCGCCGCGTTGTTCCGAGATTTACTAGAAGACTTCAACATCAGTCCCTACAGCACGTGGGAGAAACTGATTGAGGATGGACATATCATTGAGGATCCGAGATACACAATTCTCAATACGATGAAGGCACGCAAGGAGACCTGGTCGGAGTGGACCAAGGACAAGATCAAGGAAATCAAGGAACGTCGGGCCAAAGAAGAGAAGAAGGATCCGCGGATACCGTACATGACGCTACTGCAGGAGAAAGCGTCACCCAAGCTCTTTTGGCAAGAGTTCAAGAGGAAACATCGGAAAGAACCATCCATGACGGACCCCTACATCAAAGACAAGGACCGTGAGAAGTGGTATCGCGAACACATCAACCGTCTCAAAATGCCCCAAGCCACACTCAAGGCAGATCTCGCCACGCTTCTGAAGTCACTGCCACTTTCTGCACTGAACAACAAAACGAACATGTCGCACCTACCACCGCAGCTGCTCGTCGACATCAGATACATCTCTCTGCAGCCACAAGTGCGGGATCCTATGATCGCGACCTACATACAGACTCTGGGACCACCTCCAGAGGGTGACGCGGCCGAGCAAGAGGATGAAGCGACGCGCAAGGCTCGGGAAGCTAGAGATCGGAGAGAAAAGGCACTGCATGAGCACGAAGAAAAGGTCGCAGAGCAAAAGAGGAGACAGCAGCGAAGCCTCGAAATGGGCAAGGCCCGACTTCGAGAGGAAGAGCGTGAAATCGAACGAGCAATGCAGGTTGGCAAGCGAGGTTTACAGAGCCAGCTGGCCAGTGCCCAGAAGAACGATCAGCCTGATGCATAAAATCAACGTGGCTGGGTTGACTGATAATAGACAGACTTGGAATTCCAGCAAACCAGACGGCGTGCTTTTTAAAATCAACGTCAATCTTTCGTGTCTCTTGTGATAGGGTCGTCCTGCAATAGCCCGGTCTTGGCACTAACAACGCAGTCAGCCCGTTGATGTATCGCTCCGCCGACTGCTGCAGGAACCGGGTTTCATGCACGACCACAATGAGGTCTTTCTCACCATCCAAGCCTCTCATCATATCCAACTTGACTCGAGCCTCGCAGACGCGTCATGCAGACCTCCCAACGGATGCAGACCAACAGTCTTGGACGGAACCATCATCCATGGGTTGAGTTGAAACTCTTTACTCCTTCATGCTCCTGATGCTTCACAATACAGTCAGCGCAGTCATCGTAGGAACGTGCTGCCTGCGGTCTGCGGTCGAAACACCATGATCTAGTTGCTTGACCACCCAGCCACACTTCAGCGTCATTCCCTGCTCCGCCATCCCTTTTTACCGCGAGCAGAAACATACTTTGAGACTCGTGGGAAATCAGTTCGGATTGATACCTCTCGCTGTTCCTGCCACGGCACTAATGACACCATCTGGTGTGTTCGTGCGCAGGATCGACTGAAAATCGGCGGCGCGCCCATTGGCTCGTCGGCCACGTCGGTCATCTCGGTCACAGCAGGCTGACCGTGCTCGCACATCCCCAAGCGCACTCCGTTGTCAGACGAAGTACCAGGCGATGGAGCATAATGCCATGTCAATTAGTGTCCTGAATGACAGCCGCCCTTGGACTTTTCCTTGAGGGCCCGGCCTCGTGTCTTTTAGTATAAGCCATTCCTCTGTTCGTTTCGCTGACTTTGGTGTTCCGAGTGTCTGCTTTTCGAACCAATACGTCAGCGCAATTACACACATCATGGGCGCAACAACACTCACAGTATTTGGCGTCATCGCCTTGGGTAAGTAGCGAATAGTTATTCGTCTAGACGAACATGACTGACGAGGGACTCAGCTTCGATGGTACTAGCGCAACAATTTCCCGGAAATTTCCCTGGCAATGGCAACGGCAACGGCAACGGAAATGGGTTTGGAAATGGCAACGGCGGCAACGGTTTCGGAGGAAACTTCAACAATTTTGTCGGCTTCAACATTCAGGAGGCGATGCACACAAGAAGAATCCACGGCATATTAGGAACAATCGCCTTCGTCATCGTGTTTCCCATCGGCTCGATCGCCATGAGGATCATTCCCGGACGCTTCAGCTGGCTTATCCACGGTCTCATCCAGATGGCCGGCTTCGTTCTCTACATCGCTGCTGCCGCACTGGGTATCAAGTTGACGCAGCAAGTCACATTTGGTGGAACAAGTTTGGTAAATTACAATCCGCTCTGCGTCAAATATCCCGAGGGTTTCCCGCTAATGCATTCCGTTAGTATGAGATCAGCACCATTAACTTCCACCCAATTATCGGCCTTGTCCTCCTGGCCATCTTCTTCTTTCAACCTATTTTCGGCTACATCCATCATGTTCAATTCAAGAGGTACGGCATCCGTCAAATCTGGTCACACATCCACCTGATCATTGGCCGCCTCCTCATTCCGCTCGGCATCATCAACGGCGGTCTTGGCCTATACATCTCTAACTCTCCCAAAGAGTTCAAGATCGCCTACGCCATTCTCGCTGCCGTATTTGGCATTACATGGATCTTCGTCTCGGTTATCAGCGAGAGCCGTCGCAGCCGCCAACCGGCCGTGGTGGTCGTCGAGGAACACAAGCTCAGGAAACGGTCCCATGGTCGCAACAGCGGAAGCCGGGGCTCGTCGGATTCGGACCCGAAGATTTGAATGGCTGAACTGACGGTTTATGAGTTATGAGAAACCTATTTAGGATAAACGTGCCACATCGGTCGCAGCAGGTTGACTCATGGTGGCGATCGGACGAGCTACCGAAGCGAACTTTTTTTGTAGTTGGCGAGAAAGCAAAGGACTGGCGTTTCGAATGTCTTTATCTTGACAGAGAGTATGCATATCACATGCCAGAAGTTGCCTTTGGAACTGGCCGACTATCTTGTGACTACAAGTCTTCAACTCCTAACGCTACCTTCAACCTTCTCGGCCTTACGCTGTCGCCTTGTGGGATCACATGGAATCTGAACAAGACCTTTCTGGTATCACAGATTATGTAAATGGTGGCATAGCCCTTGTCTATGGGAATGCTCCAAGGCAACAGACCACCAATCCACTTAGACCAATGTGGCTAAAGCTTTGGGTAATGTACAATGAAGATAGTCGTGTCAGAAACGACTGGGAAGCGTCGCTAGGCACGGTATGAGAATGAAATGCGCGGCTTTTGGATGTTTACAAGTTGCTGGTACCGTGACACGCGCCGTTGAATAGACTTCAATTGGAAAATGCTGGTAAGTATGTTCCTTTCGAGGATGATCGTCGATTCCAACCGCAATGAGCATCTACAACAGAGGGCTCGAGATCATTTCGCACATCAAGTCCTTGAAGAACTTTGCAATATACAGTTTCCTATCCAAGACACCGGGACATGGTGCAGCTTGGAGTACAGTGATGCACGCTATACCTTCCTTACAACTGCATCATGCCTCACTTGGTGGTGATCGGGACTGTTGCAAGGAGAAGTTCTTGCCCAATTGTCATAATGCTACAACTAGGCGGATTTCATTAACATCTGAAAACACCCACACAAAAACATCTGAGATACTCAATATTTGAAAGCAAAACGAGGGTAGGTACAACGGAAGCCTAATTGAAGTTGGGAGAATCATCCT